TCATTTTCAATAGTTGATAGCATTGTGGGCTTCATCACCCATTGGGAAGGCCTCACCTCCCACTCCCCGATCAGAGAAATTATGGAAGATGGATACATGTCCTCGCCCAGGTCACGGTAAGAAACGAAACTAGACACAAACCTCCGTCCAATCGCGGCGAGAAAAGACTGAATCCGCCGCGCCCCCTCTGCCCCTCGGGTGCATCGATCCATGGATATTTCTGAAGCACCCAGCCAGCGCTTGGAAAAAGGGAATTTAACATGACTTCCTAATGGGTCTACCAGAATAAATGCTTAATAATGAGACCATCGGCACAATCCTAATTAAACCTTGTCAAAAGTTATATTCCAAGAGATCCAGGGGTAGATTTCAGAGGTTTCGCAATAGACTTGATCAATTCCAGTTGTCAATTCCAGAGTTTAGAGTCAAATTCCTCCAATCTCTGGATGGCAGCGGGTAGAAAGGAAAAAAAACGCGAGCTTTAAAAAAATAGCAGATCACACCTGATAAAGGCATTATCGTGATAGGCGTTAGTGGTACGATCGCTTAGACGAACCATTGTCCATTCCTTCCTTTCTCGTTAAAGAATATGATATCTTGGCCTTTTTTGGCAGGAAATAATGCAATAACAAAAGATGAAAGGATACGAATCTCGAACGTCCACTCGAGTTGTAGCGAATAAATTACGCGAAAATAACTTTTTCAAGACATTCTTTTGAAGTTTGTTCACCCTATCATGAATTATCAGTGCTCCGTTCTTCCTCACTCTTCGGCGACCCAGGAGTATGAATACAATATAAGAATATTGGTACGATACCAATTTTTTGTATAATAAATTACCGATTTTGAGTGCCCCGATCAAAAGCGCATTTAAATTTTTAACCGAAAAACTTTCCTAATTCAAGCGTTTCTTGAAATTGTAATTTCCATCAGCAATTACAAATGATAGTTCAGAAAAGTGAATTATTACATCAAGATCGATTTGGGAATGCAATATCGAAAACAAGTCAGACTAGAAATTTTTTGCATTCCCCATCAACATAAAACAAACATTATTTCCAGATGATGTGCCGATAGCATCAACAACGACGTATGAACGGGACACGATCACTACCGAAATCAGCAAAGATACAGTCGCGATGGTATCCAGCAGTGAGTCATCGATAAACCTGAGTACCACATCAGAAACTCTCCCAATAACATCTAGCGAAAGTAGTGGGACGTTCCACATGGGTACCAACTTATATCATGACACAGAGAAATCTAGCGAAACTAGTGAGACATCTGGTACTATTACCACAACTGAACCTGTAACTCGGACATCTAGTCCAACAAATGGGACGTCTGCCATGAGTACGACAACAAATCCTGGCAAACAGACGAATAACATCATGAGTGGGACATCTGAATCAAGCACCACAACTGAACAAGCAACAAAGACACCAAGCACCACAAGTAAGACGTCTGACGTAAGCGCCACCGCAGATCCTGGAACACAGACGACTAGCGACATAAGTGGGAAATCTGATACAGGTACGACCACAGTACCTGCAACACAGACGTCTAGCACCACAAGTAAGACGTCTGACGTGAGCGTCACCGCTCTAGGACCTTGTGTCTGCTGATCGCTGTATTAACCCTCATCTGACACAGGTACGACCACAGTACCTGCAACACAGACATCTAGCACCACAAGTAAGACGTCTGACGTGAGCGTCACCGCAGATCCTGGAACACAGACGACTAGCGACATAATTGGGACATCTGACACAGGTACGACCACAGTACCTGCAACACAGACATCTAGCACCACAAGTAAGACGTCTGACGTGAGTGTCACCTCAGTACCTACAACACAGACATCTGCATCCACAAGTAAGACGTCTGACGTGAGCGTCACCACAGATCCTGGAACACAGACGACTAGCGACATAAGTGGGACATCTCACACAGGTACGACCACAGTATCTGCAACACAGACATCTAGCACCACAAGTAAGACGTCTGACGTGAGTATCACCACAGAACCTGTAACACAAAAATCTGTGCCCACTGATTGGACGACCCCTTTGAGTACCACTGCACAGGCTGTCACACAGAAATCTATCGCCACTAGTCAGACGCCCCTCATGACCACCACCGCCCAGGCTGTCACACAGAAATCTATCGCCACTAGTCAGACGCCCCTCATGACCACCACCGCCCAGGCTGTCACACAGAAATCTATCGCCACTAGTCAGACGCCCC